AAAAAAGCATAAAGACACGTCAGAAAAACAGATACTGAACAAACAATAGCAAATAGATGGGAAAAAAAGAACTAGTTTTGCTAACTGAACCACTATAAGAAAATGAGCGCAAGTAAAAAACCATAGGTGAAACTCACCAAATTACTTCGCTAATGCACTGCTGATTTCTGATATCTTGCGAATGGATCTGGCTAGCCATCCCGCAATTCTGATTTGAAATACTATCGAGGCGCGTTGGAGTATTACAGAGAGGATACTCGTACATTGCAGTAGGATCATAAATGCTCTGAGAGTTATGAGAATATGGAGCAGAAGGATGCACTGATGGTGAGCAAGACGAAGGCGCGAGAGGATGTGGTGGAAGCGATGCGGGATACGACAGTGGCGACTGGGTTTGCAGTGGCTTGGGAGGAGGCTCAGCAGGAATCAAAACATGGGTAGAAGCAGGGACTTGAGCAGGAGCGTGCGGTGCTTGTGTATCACACGAGGTACACGAAGTTCGTGACTGTTCTTGCCTAATCATGGCTTCACAACGTTCCATTGCTCTAAAATGAGCTTTTATGAATTGACACAATTGAAGTTTCCGAGAAATTAGGTTCAGATCATGTAACATACTCAATAACGCAGCGCGGAGGGGACGGCTGCCGGAAATGCATTATGCGGTGCTGGATTTCCTAAAAATTGGCAAGATGAGTATCAAAACCTTTCGAGGTCTATTTTGGCAAGATTTCACAAGAACGATGTTAAGAGGAGATAATAAGGTGAGTGTGCAGAATATAACGAGTACAAAGTGACGACATAAACTAAAATAAGTCAAACCTTTTGGCCCTGTGCAGTCTTAAGGTGCTCATCAAATTCGGAGAGAGACATATTTAAACGGCCAAACAGTAGTCTAGGTATGCTGAAAATCAGATAGAGATCTGTTTCAACACATGCATCTCAAAAAAAGAGATTGTCCTCGTAGTCGATGTCGTGCTCAATCCCTTTCAGGCTGTTACGTAAAGAAGAGAGCTCAAGACTGGTTAGGATGATATAACGAAGAAGCATGCAGAACAAGAAATTCAAAAGAAGAAACAGGCCAATCATGCAAGACAACTATCACAATCAACACTTACTTGAACATAGGAGCAGGTTTTTCATCGAAAAATTTGAAGTCAAATTCAAGCATCTTCTCCATTTGCTTTTCGGTGACCTCCTGCTTCACATATATTAATGTTCTGAAAAATATTGTTCCTTCAATCAGTGGCTGATTAAATTCAATGCATATAAAACTTGAAATCGAAAAATTTAGCAAAGAGTGTGCATAAAACCTTACCCAGTAGGGGTATCAATATCATTTCCATTTGCGCGCTCATTCGCGGAGGCCGAGCTAGCTCCCATGCTGCTGTTATCAAAAACCTGCAACAGTGTGCTTTTAGAAACATCTTCGATCCAAAACGACAATTTGATAAAGAGAAAGAACTACGAGGCAGCATTTCTGACAAGGAAAAAATATGCCTTGTGGGAAAAGGAAAGACAGATCAATCTAGTTTCTTCTTCGTTAAAATATCAATCACGTATTGAATGATCTCTTTGGCGAAAAAGCAACATGAACAAACCTCATATGGATCTTCGATCTTCCTCTTACGAGGATAAGGGTAATCCGGTTCAATGACTTTACGAACAGAGCGAAACGTTTGACATCCCTTACGAAGGCACCTGAGAAAACTTGTACGGGTAGATCGGTCAATGGTAACAAAAGCATAGCCCGATCAAAAGTTCATGAATACCTTCTTGACAATGAGGGTGAAGGACTGCTCTATTCAAAAAACGGGCTAACCTGTAAGCGGCGTATTCTCGAATCTCTCCCTTATATTTTGTTTTGCGGAGGCAAAGCTTCATTGGGTAATTGCAAAGGTGACAATAAATTTCTCCAGGCACTTCCGTAGTTTGACCGTTGAATGACACTATATGACCAGACGTTACTGCACTTCCTGAAATTATATGCATTTGAGAAGTTTTCGAACGATTT